GGGACAAGTATTTGTTACAATAAACGTAGAAAAGACTTCGCTAAAATAATTTGAAAAAGTCTCAGCTTTTGCTCGATCTGATTCAGCTAGTAATTTTGAATTTTCGTGTAACAGCAACGGGGGAATACCATCACTACGTTTCATTTGCCGTTTAACATACGAAAACAATCGTTTCGGACAAGTACGGCTATCATATACTAACTGTCGTTCGTAAGTGGTACGGGATTTGGATATGGTTTTCTTACAGATATTACGGTAATGATACCTGAATGTGTCTATTATTTTCTACCCAATTATAAGTTCGATTCATATCAGTTCAAATTCCTACATTATAAAACTGGTAGGAACCGCAGTCTTTTCATCACCCCGAAAATCCAAGCTGTTGTAGAGGAGCACCAGTTGATGAGACAAATCACCATGTCAGTTTCAGTTTCGAAAGGACAATAGGCTAGGTGCCTTAATTCGATGAGAAAGTCGACAGTCAGCTAACAAGTAGGCTTTCATGGGTTTGTGGACTACTTTTGAGTGTCCTCCTAAATTCACTGTCTTAGAAGACAAGAAAAATGAGGGCATATAAATGAAAATTTATCATCAAGTAATTTAAAAATATGATCAAGCCACCTCTGGTTACTCCATATGACAACAGAAATGGGTTTAGTTAGGCTAATTCATCATCGTATGGGAGCTTCACTACTCTGGAAACCGGATTACTTGCGGTTCTTTGAACCCTTTACAACAGCTTACTGTGTCTTTTAAGTTAAGGGCCAGCCACTTGTATACAGTATTCGACTTTAGAACGAACGACCTCTCTATATAAATTCGAAACCATTATATCATCAACCTGGAAAATAACTCACCATGTTAACCATAAGGTTCCAAAACCCTCGTCACATATCACACGACACTGCAGTAGTTCTTAAGTCTCAGATAGCGAAGACTCCCAATTCATCATGATGTTTCGAAAGCATTTGTCGGCAACTGCCGAATTCCAAACCATTCGGATAATTTTACCGGGTTACTTCAAATCTCTGAACTATCACCTTCACTTCAAATCACTCTTTATATCTCATGATAATAGTGTATATCTGGTGGTGATAAGAGTCTTGTAATATCATTCACTTACATGAGGAACAACATTGACTCCAAAATTGTGCCCCGAAACACCCAGCTAAGCACAGTTTTCTAATTACGTAACCTCGAGTTTATCCGTACTCATTGTTGGCGTCCAACTAGAAAGTCGTCTATCCACATTAATGGTTTTCTTCCAATCCCGACATTTCTTAATTTATATAACAGCCGATTGTGAGGACCTTTGTCAAAACCTTTCCTGAAGTTAATGTAGGCTAGGTCTATATTTAACTTTTGGTCTTTAATAGAACACCACGTTTCGCAAGCTACTAATAAGTAAGTGAGACAGGAATAATCTATTTTAAACCAAGCTGCTTTTTAGAAAGAATCAGGTTTTTGTCAAGATGCTTAAACAGCTCCTCCCGAACAATGGTTTCTGAAAAGTTACCAACCACGCTGATTAGGCTAACAGGTCGGTCGTTCCCAGATTCATATTCCGTTCCTGTTGTGAAGGTGAGACTTACTGTGGCGTTTTTGTAATCAACCATGGGTTACGGAACAAATGTTTAAGGGGTTCGCAACGAAATGTGCTAATTCATTTAGTGACCTAGGCTGTATCACCGGATCCCGTAGTTTTCCTATATCAAGCTTATTTAGCAGGCCAGAGGCATCGAGTTTTTTATGGTCGTAGTGTTCAGTGAATGGGTGGTGTATAAGTTGACAGGGTGTCTCTATAATGATGAGGCATTGCTATCTTTTCATAGTGCTGGAATATTTCCTCTTTCTTTAGTCCCTTGGTTCATACACGAATACAAGCTAGTAGGGCACCCTATAGATTCCTTAACATTTTTTTCACCGGACAACCTACACTTACTGAGGGTCGAGGTAATATAGGATCTAGTCAGAGTGATTCATAGCCCGGCTCGTACCTAGTTGCTTCAATCACATGTTTCACTAGGGCACGTGTCACAACCACATCAACTAGTTCCTGTTTGAAGAAATTTTCTGACAATCCAGTTCTCAGATTTTTCCAGCCCACCGTAGATGCATTAGAGCCTCCTAAGATTATACATCGACTACTTTTCAATCGAGTATTGAGACTGTTTGTCAAGACCTCAGTTGTCTCATAGCTTGAACTGCGGCAGACCAAATCTATCATCAGTGCTTTACCTTTGCATTTCGATCGGCAACTAATTCGTTCTCAAGTCCCGCTCTCATGCGATACCTTATAAATAACGATAAATGGAATAGTGGTTCTAATAAATAAAGCCAATCCTCTTTGACGCTTCTGGGTTCTGTTGGCTCTTACTAGCATGAAACCTTGAGAACCAACTTCCATACTGTATATAGACTACGCCGACTACGTTTCTATGACTACGACTACATCTGGCTTGAAAGAGTCAATCTGTACACCCATCTCCGATCGTATGCCGAGCAAGCTTCGGGCATTCGTATGACAGACCTGTCTGTATATCAACGTTAAAGGACTCAAATGTAATTAAGAAAGTTCAGAAATATGTTTTCAATTGAATCTGAAGAACATAATTTGAGCTGAAACCTGGCACTTTTCCGAAAACGCCGATGAGAAAGTAAGCATCCAGGGATGGAATTTAGTGGTACTACTAATACATATGAATGTTTATCAAAAGTTCTTGATAACTGTATGCATTATGTACAGATAACTAAAAGTCATTTGTCAATCATGAATGTATTTTTTATAGCTTTAAATTTGGATAGATTTTTACCCCGTGCCAATTGTTGTGACTTTAAGCTTGGGGTCGATTTTTACCCCGTGCCAATCGTTGCGTCCTTGACTGAAAGATTAGAAAGCAGTTTATTATAGATCGATCCGGTTACACGTAAACACGTACGAATGACCTAGGGCTCTGATTGGTCCCGCTTCCCTGTCTAGCCCAGCCAGTTGAGTCCAGAACACAAGTCACAACCTCTGAGATATGAATCGTTATATTTCAAACATACTCTGTTTATATACCCATCAAGCATACCACATCGTATTATAAAATAGAAAACAACATTTTGTACAATATTTAACAAGTGAACAAATATCGACCAGTAGGAAATATCCATTTAACGTCCAAGGACATCATTAGCCCTAACATGATAATGATTGGTATATTCCTCTGCATCCCTAACAGTATAATTGAGAGACATGCTCTAGACTCAATGTTATTTACATTCATACCTACCGGCCAACGGTGCATACAAGTTGATTGCAAGCATAAGGTAGAAAACGACTTATATGAAATGTAGTAATTGAAAATTATTGAAATGGACAAAGCACATGTGCAAGAAACATTGGTGATGTGGTGTTGCACAATGCTCCCGGCTAAATAAATAAATAATAATAATAATAGTAGTGGTAATGCAACTAATTCCAAGGTGCTTGAAGCCGTGGACCACTTTTCATTTGTTTGATTCAGTACAAATCCCAAAGTCCAGACTATTATGTAGTTGTCGCTGCATGAACCATCTAAAATGAGATCAAGTTTGCAAAAACTGCCAGTTAATACTCTTGGTTTCATTCTTCTATCCAGTTTAAGATCCTCGGTGAAAAGCGGTAAATACGACCTCCGCTGTGGAAGATTGTTTATATGAATCAAGAAAACAAGAGATCCCATTACTGAGCCCTGAAGGACCTCACTGAAGAACTCCATAGCATGGGAGAAAGTGAAGTCAACCCTGACCTCATAATATCGACTTTTTAGATACGAAGTGAACCGATCGACTGGAGGTAATTTGATACCTGATGATCAGAGTTTATTGAGAAGACATATATGGCTGACTCTGTAGTGTGACGTCGAGTCTCGGTTGACTATGATCACTACTACAGGAAGACTACGTGCCAGTTAACCGATAAGATCACCCGTAGGCCAAATATCAGAAGGCAGTTGATGGCTGTAGTCGAGATGTGTTTGTTGGCGATCTCGTGGTATCGAAAGAATACCGAGACCGTGCCATATTACAGGTGTGGTTACTGAGGGTAACCGGATTCGTGCAAGGTCACAATCAACGGAAGAATGCATGTATTTTGGTACAGTTAAACAAACAACTACTGTAAAACAATCCCTGGTACAACTGGTTATAATAATAATTGTTTGCATTACACCAATCGCGTTCCCTTATTGAAAGTAGGCCACCACAACCCTATCAGTAGTTTTTGAGAAGTCAAGGTATATGACGTCAACATTCCCCTTGAGAACAAGTATGGTTGTCCATTTTTCTGCTACGGTCAACAGGTTAGTTTACATGAGTGGCCTTCTTTGAAACCCTGATGTTGTTGTGAAAAGAAGTTTATGGATGGTAAGTAGTCGTGTAGACTGTCGTACACAAAGGACACCATACGTTTTGAGGGTATGAAGAGAAGAGCCACCAGTCGATGTCTTGAAAATTTTTCGCGTCGAAATCCCTTGAAAATTTGTTTGATGTGAACCGGCATCCAATTTCCTGTTAGTGTGCTTAAGCTTAGTGAATTTGTGAACATCACGCCAAGCGGTATTGCCAAGATTAAAGCTGATTCCCTCAGCATAGCAGACTGAACTATATTCGGGACAGGAAAAGTGTCTTTTTCACGTGCTGTAGTTTCCGGTACACCAAGTAAACGCTAAGATTCACTTCCTAAAGTCCTGTGAGGTTGCAGGTGAAGCTCTCATCAATATAGTCGTATGGGTCGTTTGAAATGTCCGAGTGAACTGTTTTGTCAGAAGTTCGACGACACCACCTACGTTTTTGATTAGGCTATTGGGACCAAATTGTTGGGAAACCCTGGTTTTTGGTCCTGTCGAAGAGAGGCTGCACGACGAAATAAGGTTTTCGGATTGGAGGCAAACTGGGAATGAATCGTACCAACAATACGTAGGCACAGAGAAATCAACTGACTAAAATAAGATTATCACAAAGATTTCGGATAGGTAATGTTTGAACTGGGCATATGTACGCAAATATTGAATGCTAGAAGATTAAGCGCTTTATTTCGTTTGTCGTTACGTTTTCATCGTAGGATGTGTGGTATGTATTAAGTAGCATATTATGGGATTTTATGTTCTAAGAAAAACCTATTTAAGTGTTACTTGTGCTTTTTATTTTTATCTGAACTCTAGTTTCTCTCCACTATGTTGATAATCGAGTGCTAAATGCAGTGTTACGTGCAAATGTAACTCCCAAGATACAATATCTTTGTTATGAGCTTTTATAAGTCGATTGGTTTCTTCGCGCTCGCTTGTTGTAGTCTCTGTACGGTTTAGGGTATTTGGTTATGTTCAATGTGTAGTGGTTTAGTCACTCGACTACAGTAATTCTAGTCAGTTTTGATGTTATTTGTGAATTTGTATACTTTGTAGTGATTGGGTTCTTTTCAGGGCAGTAAGGTTTCTGGATGCCAGAAGCTATCACATTATCAGGCAGGAGTTTGACGACATGAGCTCAAAGTCTTACATATAAATGCATTTTGGAGTAGTTTTAGGGGATCGCTAGGTTTCGTAGATGCGTTCGTCACCCTACCAACTGAAGTAACTTAGGAAGTCCTTATGCACATAGTGACACATTAATTAATAGATTACCTGGAATAGTAATCCATTATCATACTTTTCTAGTACCTATGTTACTCGCGTGATGTACAGTTGTACTATCATAATTTCGTACATCATCTCCATGAGTTGTAGGTCAAAATGTAATGAAAATGTACTTATTCGTGAAAATTGACGCATCTTATGCTAGACAAGAGCTTTGTGTCGTCCGTAAATTAAGCTAAATTTAGTTGTAGTACTAAATTTTTATCGGTTGGTTTAATTCACTACTTGGATGGTTAAAAACAACTAGGCTCGTAGGTCCTGACATTGTATATAGTTCATGTATGTCCTAATCAGTTGCTTTCTTGTGCTTTTCAATCCCGCAATTATTTACCAACAAACCTAACAACCTTTTTCTCTTGGTTTAGGAATATTTGCGTACCTAAATTATCAAGTTCCGGTTACACGTCAAGTCATCGTAAACACTTTGCTCAATGGCTTACATCGATTAGAATATCGTGGTTATGATTCTGCAGGACTAGCAGTCGATGCCGTTTGCTCAGAACAGAATGACTTATCTAATAATGATGGGTCTCACAAAACGTTTACTCGAGTTGTTCGTTGTAAAGGAAAAGTAGCATCACTGGGACAAGCTGTTAAAGGTGTGTTTCACTGTCTCTTATTATACACCTGCACATTATTAAGTTTATTTGTTCCTAAACATTTCTATATATACATAAATTATTTCAGTACGCGAATTTTCAGTTAATTATCGTGAATATACTACAGGACTGTGACTTTATATAATCCCAAAACCAAGTGATTTCCGGAAGATTAAATGGTAATTGGATCTGCTCGGCATGAGTAGAAGTAAATTATCTAATAATGTATGGAAAAGTTGAATCAAGATCTCATGGGTGTCAGTTCGATCATGCGGTCAACGATCCCTTCAGGAAAGAATTAGCTAAGCAACTAGTTGATCACATATAAAGTTTCGGAAGAAATCCGGAAAGATGTCCTAGCAGCTGTAGGTACAAAAACGGTATCTATCGACTACTTAGATCAGAAAGTTAGGAAAAACCAGTGGATTTCAGTGTCGTCCACTAGATTGACAGAGTTTGAGGAACTATGAAAAGCGACAACTCAAATGTAAACTAACGAAACGTTTATTCAATGATCGTGGCGTGTGGTAGGTAACGAAAGCAAAAACATAGAAAAGGCATTAACAACAAATAACTCTGAGCCACACTACCAATTGATTAGGAAAACATGTTAAAAAGGCACGTGTCAGTAATAATATTTGAGAAAAGGATATAACTATTGTACACTATCAATTCAAGGGATTAAACAGATAGTTAGATCAGATAACCATAAAATATCCAAAGACTAACACAGTAATTGACCAATTCCTAGTACGTGAAACAATATTCAAAACTGTGATGATAAGATTGTAAGCATACTGAATAACTCATTGAGCCAAAAGTCAATCAAGATTAGAAATTGGTTGACACAAAAAGGAAATACATACTCGCGAATGAGATCGCATATTTATTTAATATTTACGATAACTTGAGGGGCAAGGCATTAGTTGATAAAGTTTAATCCAACTGTCAATGACTGCACGGACTGATAGCATGTCTTCTTTTGGTTACCTGTACCTTTCACTCTAGTGCCTAATCGTTAACAATACTATAGACAAATAATTAACCGTGATATTTTTGTTTTGTAGCTAACATGTACACCAACGTGACTGTGCACCTTAAGTAACAATTTAGGCACATTTGGATAATATTTATCTCCCTCCAAATGTAAAATGTTGCTTCAGAACTGGTCCGCGTCGACGCTTGAACTAGTGATAGGAAGTAAAGTAGTTGAATGAGTTAACCAACTCACTTATCTCGAAGACCTGACCGGGTCTAGTGGGTTGGTGTCTCAGTCAGTCAGTAACAACGTAAACTTCGTACGTACGTACATCAGTTCGAGTTGCCACACCACATTAGCACAGAGATGCAGTTGTCGATTCAAATCCCGTAGTGGTAGAGGTAGCAAGAGTATAAACAGTAATCGGGAAGATTAGGGTTCGGAGATGTTATTTAAAGAGTATAATCCAGTGAAATAAATTTGGAAAGAGGAAGAAAGGGACATAAAGAATTCAAAAGATTAGAATTTGGGAGAACACAAAGAGTGGATGCACCTGCTTACACCATTGCAAACGATTTTGAGCCATGCCATTCAGGGTCTCTAACCATCGGTTGTTATCATCTCGTGGTCCCCAACCAGGTAGTCTACACCTACCAACATGGCTCAGTCCACTTGTCAGTGACTTCATGGACTTGTGACATGTTTTAGTCTGGCCGCCCCTAGCTTTCTTCCAACCTACTCCTATACCACTGAACATCGCACGTCGAGGTAGTCGGTCGTTGGGCATATGTAACAGGTGTCCCAGCCATCTCAACTGATGAAGTTTCACTACTTCATCAATGGATTTGCCATCCTTACCTAGTACCCGTTTCCTAACAATTGCATCCCGTACTCAGTGGTCCCAGAATATACGAGCAATGCTTCGAAGACACCCATGATCAAATACTAGTAACTTACGAATATCCTCTACTCTTACCGGCCATGTTTCACTACCATAAAGTAGGACGGGACGAACTGCTGCACAGTAAACCCGTTCTTTGGTTGATAAACGGATATCTCGCCTACGCTATAAGTGACGCAAGTTGGCAAAAACTAGTCGAGCCTTCTGTATCCGTGCTGAGATTTCGTCACACACCAGACCACAAGGGCTGATGAGACTTCCAAGATAAGTGAAGCGGTCGACATGCTCAACTACTCCAATCCCTATCATTAGTTCGGGTGTCGATGCAACCCGATCCTAAAGTAACATTTCGCATTTCGAGGGAGAGAATCGCATTCCGAACATCCTTACACTGTTGCTTATAGTGGTCAGAAGACTTTACCAAATAGAACTATATCATCTGCATATTCTCAGTCAACAAGTGAATCTCCCGGTAGAAGTTCAACCCCTGGAAATGTAGACGAGGGAAGTGTTATCTCTAAAAGTACGTCAACGACAAAGTTAAACAAGAATGGAGAGAGTGGGCAGTCCTGACGAACGCCACTTGAGGTAATCAATTCTGATGAAATTTCGCCATAAGCTCTCACTCTACCAGTTGTGTTCGAGTAGAGAGCCTTTACAAGGTTAATGTACTTCTTTGGTACTCCTTTCAGTGACAAACACTGCCATAGAACCTCACGATCAATAGAGTCGAATGCCGCCGTAAGGTCGAGAAATACTATCATTATGGGGCGTCTGAATGTGTGTCTGTGTTCTAGAACCTGACGTAGTGTGAATATCTGATCTATACGGCCACGTCCAGGTCGAAAACCAGCCTGATTTTCTCTAGTCTGCTCTTCACAAGCTTTGGTTAGGCGTCGAAGTATTATTGAAGCTAATATTTTAGACACTATATTAGTCAAACTGATTCCTCTGTGATTGTCACAAGAGGACTTTTGTCCCTTCTTACAGACTGGCACAATCAGTGATTGAGACCAGTCAGATGGGATTACGTCCAGTTCCCAAATTTTACCTAAGACCTCGGTTAATCTCATTGCTAATACTGGACCACTATCTTTAAAAATCTCAGGAGTAAACCTGCCAGGGCCTGCTGCTCTCTCTCGTTTCAGATTTCCTATGGCTTTTTCAACTTTGTAAAGGGACGGAGGATCTACATTAACTTGCCATTCAGGTTGACTAGAGATCGTGGGTAACCGAAGTGTGGCTGAAGGCCAGTTGAACTGATCCCTAAAGTGTTCTGCCCATCGATCCAATCTTCTGGATTGAGAATGAATAATATGTCCATCTTTCTGTGAGATTGTTTCGCTAACAGTCGGGTTCCTAATTCCGGTTTCCTTAACGAGTCTGAACAATCGTCTGCTATTACCTATTGCCGCTGCCTTTTCCAACACTCTTGCTTTCGCTACCCACCACTGTTCGCGATCATTGCGTAGACTTCTTTTCAGCTTGTGCTTAAGCTGACTCCTCTGTTCACTATGTTCAGAGCCAGGTGGAATGAGTTTCCGAGCATCTATCAGTGCGATAGATGCTGCTGAGATCCAGTGTTGTTCCCTAACCTTCTGGTTTACCTTACTAGCAGATATCACTGCTGTTTCCACAGCTTTTCGGATATCATTCCATGCTGCCTCGGGGTGGGCATCACATACATGTCTGCCTAACTGTTTTCCTAGTTGTTCCTGAAATATACTCTTAGCTTGACTATCATTAAGTAGGGCCCTAAGAGGTTTTCTTGCAGCGTCTTTCCTACGTCCAGTAAGACGCAAGCAAATACGCGCTCGCACTAGAGCATGATCTGAATCTAAGCATGTGCTCCAGAATGAGCGACAGTCTTCTATCGAGCCCCTCCATCGGTGGCTGATAGCGATGTGATCTATTTGGGTCCAACGTTGGGACGAATTAGGGGGTCGCCATGTTAAAACATGTTCTTCCTTATGCTTAAAGTTAGTATTTGCAAGGGACAGACGGTTATATGAGCATAGCTGCAACAGACGGTCGCCATTATCTGTTCTTTGAGCCACGACACCATAAGATCCACCTAGGTGTCTTTCCCTACCGCTTAGTTCACCTACTTAAGCATTAAAGTCACCGGCCACTATTACTACATCAGAGCGCCTAGCTTTTAGGAGAAGGTCGGGAAGCTTTCTGTAAAACTCATCTTTTACATCATCTGAGCTGCAGTCAGTGGGAGTATAGGCAGAAACGACGAAGAGGCAACGACGAGTGTCCCTATCTTTCCGGATCCTTACTGTTCTGTTCAGTCGGACAGCGCACTCTAAGAGAGCTAGTTCTGCTCTAGGACTCAATGCTATACCTACGCCGGCGCTGCCACGGGAAGCAGAATCAGGGCTTCCAGATATACGAAGCGTAAATCGAGTCGGTTCTTTATTTTGGCAGGGTGAGGTCAAATGAATGACGCTACTCAGACCTTGTATGAGCGTTTCGGAGACGCAGCACACATCGATGGCGCGAGATTTTAAAGTCCTAGCTAAGGAAGCCTGCTGTCCTATTTGGCACAGTGTTCGGACGTTAAAAGCTCCTACGTGTAGTTTAGAGCGTGGTTTCAGGAGACCAGGAATGGCGTTCCACGTACTCGAATCGTTTGCCCTAGCGGTGCGAGGTGATAAAGAGACGTGAGGAGGGTTAGTCATGGAGATAAGAGAGGTATTAGGAGGTGTAGTAAGGATTTGAATGTGACCAACTTGGTCTCGTGTGCTGTTACGGGTATGAGGGCTGATGTCACTTCCCGGCTGCCCACACCGTGGAAGGGTATTTCTTGAGGAACCTGAAAAGGAAATTGGATTAGTGTTGGTCTTGACGACCTGGGAGCGTGACCGCAGAGCCCAAGGGACAACTGCTTGAGGCCGGTCGCACACGGCCTTTTTGTGGAAGGTTTTTGACGTGTTAGCTCCGTTCTTCAAAGGGCCTTACCGCCGGAGACGGAAATCCGTGAGGTAAGGTGAGGTGTGACATTTTTGGGATCGACCTTTTCTAACCCCACCCCTCCTTGTGGGAAGGCTGCATCGCTGTCATGCTGGTTGTCCGAGGGAAACACCTTATTGCTGTCACACCTCTCTACAGTCAGCAGTACGACTTCGCCCTCAGACCTTGAGTTGCTGCTTTTAATCTTATCGTTCACCAATCGACCTGCCTGGCATGGTAGAACCTACAGGAATATATGTTCCAGCCAATATAGCTCGGTTGGGTCATCACGATAGGCAAGCCCGACCACCGCGTCAAGGTAGCAGCTTCGGTCTGACAAAATCTTTTCACTGGTTCAAAAAACCCAGTGGTGTTTGCTAAATTGAGTCGTTTGTGGCGTAGATGAGATGTCCGTCCGCCAATTACAGGACATGCATATCACGTAGCAGTCCTTCCTGTCATATCTCATACCTGTGAAACAGTCCATGGAATTGGAGACATGAGTAGGCTGGAGGTTTTAATCATAAGTATTTCTGACCTATCGCAAACCGACCAAGTGAGTGTTTTTGAGGTTAGGGACAGGATATCTAGTGAAGATGTCAAACTAGTCGATGGGGTAGTGAATCTTCATCGACTGAGATGTTTAAGACATGTGTTTCGTACGTCTAACCACTGCCTACCTCGACGAGCGACGCTTGATAGTACGAAGATAGGTTGTAATAAAGCTATAGGGGGCGAACCGGAACAGCTTTAGTCTTTCTTCTTTTCTTTGCTACTACATCGCTGTCTCTTTCGTGATAGTTATCTCAGTTATTGGAAATTGAACCATCTCAGATATGCTAGACTATATATTGATGAAATATGACTGTCTGTTGTAATATTAGGTCAGTTGGATTATTTTCCAAGTTGTATTTTAGGTAACTAGTAAATAAAGCCATAGATGTCTTTGATTATCACTGCGGTCCACCCGGACATGAAATATCGGGACGAAGGGAGTGGTTATATTTTTTGTCCATTCAAGTTGTTTAATAAACTCTACTCGTCATTATCGTACTAATTCATTTATATTAATTATCGTTAGGTTATCATTGAGATTATCCTGCAATCATTAGTTCTAGGGAGATTGTCAACTGGGGTTAGTAGTAGCACTACGACTTAGTTAAGTGATATGTTGAATTACAATTCATTGTGGGAAAACAGAAAGTGTGAGACATCTCATATTTATGAGTAGTTATCATCAAGATACCTAAGAATGTTAAGCGACTTATATTCATTTTGGGATTTTTTACTTCAGTGAATGCAACTTTATGTTTTTCGAAGTATGTTGGATTTTATATTGATTTATACAGGCTTAATTATCAACATTAATTTAGTTTACTCTGAAGACTTTCCATCGTGAACTAAAATTTCTTCTTATACACCCCGCCCATGAATTTACTCAAGAAATGGTTATATTAGAAAACACTTCACTTTGTTATGGTTAATGTGGAATTATTTTGTGGGATCTACGCATAACTTATTCTGTATACGCCAAGAGTTTAATTTAAGAATAATGTATCGTTTATTTAGAGTTTCTAACCGATCATGACTTTCCAAATGAACTAATCACAACACATGTTGGCATAGCGCATACTCGATGGGCAACTCATGGGGAGCCAAATGAAGTAAATGCTCATCCCCAACGTTCTGGACCTGACAACGGGTTCGTTGTAGTGCACAATGGTATTATAACCAACCACGTAGATCTTAGGGCATTACTGGTAAGTTAATTTTTTAGTCTAAATATAGATCATAATAAACTAAGTGGTGTTAATAAATGTGGAACAACAATACATGTCACTGGTAAACACATTCTGGAGTTAAACCTGGCATCTTTCGGTTTCTTGGCGAGGACTTCATTTGTTAGACAGTGAAATCATATATTTATTATGATATGTGAAGTCGAAGTTGTGGTGAACTGTTCAGAAGTAATCAGGTGATGACTGGAATTATATCTGGACGAGACTTGTTTAGAAATGTTACGTTTTCTGCGAAACCGATTTATATATACCAGTTGCCTTGCTTTGTTCGTAACATGTCCTTGTGTTATATTTTTAATACTTTTTACTTCATCTCATTCAAATGTATTGGTTACAAAGAGCATCTAGGACAGATTAGTAGGTTTTAGAGTTCACAAAGTAAACCGTTTTTTTACACGTCATACATGTTTTTTTCCAATGAATTATCCGAGGTATTCCGGATGAAATTTATATATTGAAATAAAATACTATCTCGCTTAAGAATAATGGTCGATTGGGCCTACTAAGCATCACTCCCATATTCTCAATCTGTATTATCTCTATTCCGAAATGTTGATTTAACTAAGTCATAGTTCATTCACTGTACTTATTGGTTGTGTTAAGGAATATTTGACTGGTCAGATTCAACTATACTAGGAGCTAGTTAGCTACAACATAGTCTAGTGTTTAAAGATCGATTGATGTATATACATTCAAATTATATTACTGATTCTCGGTTTTTGGATAATAATGAGTACCGTTTGGTTTTTAAATGTGAAACCAAGGCAATAAAACTGTAATCCTTAGTGTCTAACCGACTTATTTATGACTCGAAAAGCACAATAATAAGGATTTCGACGATGAATTGGGGGGATCTGACCTCAGGAAAGACGAGTTTTTAGTGTATATTTTTTACTAATATATTACAACGGAATTGGAAGTTTGGTCGACAGCCTGAAATTACTCAACATAGAATAAAATGTTTCCATCCATTAATCTATTTGATGGATGAAGTCGCTCATGCCCAGTAATAGATTTGCCTTCTATGTGTATTAACATCTGTCAGTGTTATTATCATTGTCGTTTTTGTTCAATTTCCAATGCATAATGTATTTTTTTTAACCCTTTTTATGGTCTCTTACCACTCATAGAGTCGTCGCGGTTATATATTTGAATCTGAAACAGATACAGAAGTGATTCCAAAATTTATGCAAATGATTTATGATTCACATAAAGAAAATCCTATTACCTTTTTAGAAGTTGTTGAATTGGTTGCTCAGCAACTGGTAAGTCTGCTGATATATATATATATATATATATATATATATATATATATATATATATATATATATATATATATATGGTTTTCACTAAAAATAGCTTGTGGATAGGAAATGAAGTGTTTGTGGGTGTATGCAACTTATTGAAAATATTGCATCATCCCTGAGGAGTCAGAGTTACCAACGATATCTCAGCGAAAATATGAGCCCGTTTCACAATTACCAACCTGTTATCAACTTAAGAGTGAATATACTGCAAAAGATGCCCGTTATGTGCTACTTTATGTCTCTCAGTGATAGGAGTTATAGGTACATAACTTAAGTAGATTACGATACTGGATAATATAAGCTTATGTTGGATAAAAGCTAAGACTGGTCATTCGCTAATACGTACCCAGCTCATGATTTCACTGATTTTTCTGTGAATTATGTGAAGAGCTGCAAATTATTTCGATGAATTCATCGAGGTTATGGAAACAAGTTATTAGAGACCCTAAATGGTGCGGCTAGATGAGGTTTCAAAAACACAGACTCATTCTTTTTACTTTCTAACTCTTCAAAATGTTATTACTTGTTATTTTTTTTCTTCTCAACCCATAGCCTTTGTTATCTACATATTTTCTTTCTTTTGAACATTCTTCGTTGTTACATGTGATAGCTTAAATTTAAGAGCCTGTGTTCAAAGTTTCACGTTGAATCTGTTTGTGTTCATATTCCATTACGAACTAGTTGATTAATGTAATGAACTTAAATTGACGTATTAGAAATCTGTTATACGAAATTTTTTAATATATCCATGTGTATGAATCCTGTATATTGTAGACAATCTGTCGATTGTTACTGAACTATTGTGTTCTATTTTGCCACTTATGTTTTAGGAAGGATCGTTTGCATTGGCATCCAAAAGTTGTTACTACCCTGGTGAATGTGTTGTGGCAAGGTCAGTAAGTGTTTCTGTTACTTTCTCGGTATATTTCATTAAATTCTCTCATTTAGCATCAGATATTAAAGTGTTAGAAAATTTAGCTCATTTAATTTTCCGATTCAGTAGTACAAGTTTTTACCATAAAGTTTCAAGAATATATGTGGACCGACTAAACACCATATGTCTCGGTGGAGTAGATGTCTTCTAACATTACTCATAGTTTTATTTAAGATAATTTATTTCTACAACTAATTGTTTCTCATTATTTCATAATGATTACATTACCATTAAATGATCGGTTGAAAACTCATTGGCTAGCATTTTATAAATGCATATAATTCTTTCTATACAGTGAGTTTTGGAATTTGGTCCATTGTAATTCCAAAAAACCCAAATGACTTTTATAACGTTAGAAGATGAATGTCCACCACGTAATGGCGAATACAACAATGCTTAGCTGCCGGGCTCCATCCCTTTGGGTTGAGGCTTATAAAGTGCTAGTTGAAAGTCAAGTGGATAAACTAGTGTAACACCTGCACTAATAACATCACTAGTCTGCCAAACAAGCTTAACATTCTTATTTTATTAGTCGTTGAACATAGTCAACAAGAAACTTTTAGTCTGGGTTTTGTTTTTACTCATTTATTCAATGTTCAATGAGTACATATATGACTAAGTAGTGAAATAATTATTTAGTACTAATCGGAGGTGGAATGCCTGCCGACAGAAAATTGAATTGAAGAGAACAAAAGCGAAACAGAAAGGAGTTGGGATAACCGAATTCGTAGAATGAAGATGTAGGTACAGGACAACTGAAGCAAGATGTGCAAATAATGTATTTAATGTATGATTTTCATATTTTACGAAATCACTGTAGTTTTGCATGAAATAATAAATTAGTTTTCCGCACCTGAGTCTCGTTCACTACACTATCATATTAAAAGTAAAGATTGACTCGAAACCGTTGATCAAAAAAGAGGATAAGATATGGATTAGATATAGTTTATTGAGTGCGAGAAGTTCAATTAATTAGCAGTTCAAAGTTCATTAATAAATATGTGCACGAGAAAAAGTACTTCCGGCAGTACTTTGGAAGCCGAATTGTTGTCATCATTTTAATTCTCTGATTTGTACTGTTTCAGATATTTGTGGCTTATTTGTTTAGCTAATTATTTTTTAACTACAGTGATTTATCCAAAACGCAATAAATACCTGTCAGTGTTTAGATTTTCGACATCTAGATAATCTTATTCACATTACAATTGCCTCCATATATTTCTGAACGTAAAGTAATCTTCCTTACTTTTTGTATAAAATGTTTTGTCTGGTAATCAAGCCAGATAAGTATCCTGACACAGTAGATTCAATATAGCGTTTCATGAACTTGTGCTCTGTTGCATCTAAAACTATTTTTGTTTAGTTTACTTAATTTGCTAGTCTTGTATGTTTGATTAACTAATATGGTATCTAAAATATCAGGTTCAACAATAATCCTATGCCTAACTATCCGACTTTATTCGTATTTCTTGACCTTAAAGTAGCCCTCGACAGTATTGATTGAGAGGTTATGTGATAGTGTCTATCATTGAAAACCGTACCAAAGAAGTACATAAACCGTGTAAAGGCTCTACGCAATCACTATTGGTCGAGTTGGAGCTTAGAACGAACTGTCATAGGAATTGTCAACCTCGTGATAGCTGTCTGCTTTTTCCATTCTTATTTTTTGTCACAGACATCCTTTTGTAGATAACACTCGTCTGAACCTTCAGCTATTGTTCTCCTACCAAGAGGTTAATTCGTTGACGTACAATACACAGATTATATAGTCTTATTTGGTGAAGACGCTGACAAAATGTAGTCCTATGTTCACCTTATGCAACAATGCAAGCATGTTCGGTATGCTACTCTCTACATTGAAATGCAAAATGTTACTTTGAAGCTGTCCTACTTCAGTTCTTAAATTAATAGTAGAGAGTCATGTAGTTGAGCGTATCGACCGTTTTACTTATCTTGGGAGTCTCATCAGTCTTAATAGTCTGGTATCTGATGAAATCTCGATACGGATTCAGAAAGCCCGATTGGCTTTTGCCAAATCGCGTTATTTATGGAGTAGGTGAGAGATCCGTCTGTCAACCACAGGACGAATTTACTTCACGGCAGTTCTCTCCGTTCTACCGTATGACTGTAGAACATTGATGGGCGGCGTCCGTAATCCGACATTGATACACGATGTGCTAGACGCTAACTCTCCACCTAACTACTTGAGCGCGAACACAGGAGTGGACGAGAAAGTATATTGGGCTACTGAATAAAATGCACAAATACTCATATATATCTACAACTTTACCCCTTAGAAAATCAGTCCATTTCCTAGCCGATGAAACGTACTTGTCCTTCAGGTCATTTCTAATTGCCATTGATTGACCTCATTTGGTTACTTCTGACTGGCTCTCCACATCACATGATCATTAAGAATGGAAAATATTCGTAGGTTACTAGTGTTTAATTATATGCGTATCGAAAGCATTGCTCGTGTATTTTGGGACGACCGAGTGAACAATACCGAAGTTGACCATAGCGTACTAATAAAAGATATCAAATCGATTGGAGAGGTAGGGGATTTTCATCTACTGAGGTGGTTGGGACATGTGCTACGTATTTCCAGTCACTGTCTACCTCGACAGACGACTTTGTTTGGTGGAGTGGGTTAGAAGGAAGCTATAGGCAGGCAATCCAAAACGTGGCATCAGTTCATGAAGTCATTGACAACTGGACTGAGCCATGTTGGTAGGTGTAGTCTTGTTTTGGGTCCGCATAATTATCGTAATCAATGGTTAGAGACTGAATGGCACGGGTCAAAACCGTTTGGAATAACTCTATATTCCTCTAGAGTCTGAGTCCCAAAATATCTCTATTTGTTTTTTCTTTTCCTATACCTGTTTTTTTACTGTTAGTGATGTCTGTTACTGCTTCTACTATTCTATTATTCGTCTTGGAATAGCTCTATCTCAATGTACTATTGTATTATGGCATCCTGAGTCAGTGAACATATGTTAGGTTTTATGTTGCATAAGACTGGTTGGCTGACTGAATGTTATAGATGTTTTACCTTTTAAGTTTAACACAAATACTAATTTATCATTGGGATGTTACAAACAGTAATTATTCGGTAAAGTATTCTATATATAGTTTATTGAAACTAAATCTTAATTTTGGAATAACTTTTCTTTATTTTAAATGTTTCTATCATTTTTCCTAGGCGGGGTTCACCAATGTTGGTTGGAATTAAAAGTCCGCATGAATTGACAATGAATCATATACCAGTGTTTTATAAACCGAATAGTAGGTTATTGCAATGTGTATATTTCTTTGTACATTAATTTTCTTAATACCAATTCTGTCAGTTAGTCCGTTTAATGAATTTATGTAATGCAATAAAAACACGAAGTTTATCTAAACTTTGTCACATACGTTTCAAACAAGGTGATAACACATTAACTTATTGAGACACTTAGGGGTTTAGGAGATTACAGTCAAACCTGATAGATTGAGAGATGAGAAATGCAGTATGAATCATGAAATTATGGTTAATAAACCAACATTATCCACGGTAGTTTCAACAAACATTTTTTGGACATAGGCGGAGGTTAATCTACGTACAGTCAGGGGTTTTGTTTGTTGATTTTATGTTTTTTTGTAACTATCTTGTTACATGTTCAATCACTTTGACTTGCAAAGCACTACTACTCCTTCCTATGTTTGTTAGACCACAGACTCTTGTTGATTTGTAAAGTGGTGGGATGTGACGCAATTGTTTATTTGCTGCTTAGGTTTTTGCTGAATCATAGGAATAGTTATTTTTCAATAATGAGGACCCTAGCTGCACACTGTGTTCTACAGATAACCGATTTAGACAAAGATATGCAAAGATATCCAACTCACTTCAGAATGGTCGGATAATATATACAGGTTTTTTAATAGAAAGGGGCATATTACATTTCAACATGAATAAATATATACTGGGATTAAGGATAGAGAAGATAAAGAGGTGAGTGCATCTGAACAATGGTGAACAATTCTGAGTGATGTTATCCAACGTCTCCAACCACTAATCACAATTATCCCACGGACCCCAGTAGTCTGCATCTACCAACATGGCTCAGATAACAGCCGGCGAGTTCACGGACTAATGGGATGTTCTAATTCGACCCCCTATAGCTTTATTACAACCTATCTTCGTACTATCAAGCGTCGCTCGTCGAGGTAGGCAGTGGTTAGACGTACGAAACACATGTCTTAAACATCTCAGTCGATGAAGATTCACTACCCCATCGACTAGTTTGACATCTTCACTAGATATCCTGTCCCTAACCTCAAAAACACTCACTTGGTCGGTTTGCGATAGGTCAGAAATACTTATGATTAAAACCTCCAGCCTACTCATGTCTCCAATTCCATGGACTGTTTCACAGGTATGAGATATGACAGGAAGGACTGCTACGTGATATGCATGTCCTGTAATTGGCGGACGGACATCTCATCTACACCACAAACGACTCAATTTAGCAAACACCACTGGGTTTTTTGAACCAGTGAAAAGATTTTGTCAGACCAACCCACTAGACCCGGTCAGGTCTTCGAGATAAGTGAGTTGGTTAACTCATTCAACTACTTTACTTCCTATCACTAGTTCAAGCGTCGACGCGGACCAGTTCTGAAGCAACATTTTACATTTGGAGGGAGATAAATATTATCCAAATGTGCCTAAATTGTTACTTAAGGTGCACAGTCACGTTGGTGTACATGTTAGCTACAAAACAAAAATATCACGGTTAATTATTTGTCTATAGTATTGTTAACGATTAGGCACTAGAGTGAAAGGTACAGGTAACCAAAAGAAGACATGCTATCAGTCCGTGCAGTCATTGACAGTTGGATTAAACTTTATCAACTAATGCCTTGCCCCTCAAGTTATCGTAAATATTAAATAAATATGCGATCTCATTCGCGAGTATGTATTTCCTTTTTGTGTCAACCAATTTCTAATCTTGATTGACTTTTGGCTCAATGAGTTATTCAGTATGCTTACAATCTTATCATCACAGTTTTGAATATTGTTTCACGTACTAGGAATTGGTCAATTACTGTGTTAGTCTTTGGATATTTTATGGTTATCTGATAACCAGGAGACTCTGTTTTCGAAAAGGCTTCACGAATAAAACGTTGTCGGATAATGTCCCAAGTAATTGAATAAATCGGTTGGTACTTCTGAAGTTAGATATTATTCATATCTTAGTTTCTGTGTGCCCCAATTTTATTTCACTATTAATGTTAACTGCCGGATCCGTTGTGTCAACCAAGTGTCTGTTATCGAAGACCTTTTCCGTTCCTCTGTTAACCTTAGTGCTTACGTTATTATTTTTTGTTGATTTAATAATCATTTTAAAGGTTCTAACACTAAATATAATATTCGACCGTTATCCAATGATGGGCACGTTGACTTAGGAGATTCATCAATGGAACAGGTGACACATTTTTTGAGTGGCGCAGATGGTCATCGAGAAATCGAGTTTTTCTTTGCAAGTTGTGCAAGGTAAGTGAAAGTAACAAAAAGTAGTCATCATTGTATCACTGGATTCGTGTGTAAATTTTGAAATATATTCCGTCTGAATTTAACGAAATAATGGTTTTGGCATTCGAATTTCAACTAGATGAATTAGTAGTTAAGATTCAGAAAATTTATTGTGATCTGATTTCGATATTTGTTTTGTTAATTTCATATCACTGTGTTGATATGGTTTATTAACTTGGACTAACGCATATTTGTTGCAGGCTCTATGTTGATTATGACTCAGTGATTTGATCTTTTGGAGGTGACAATTTCTAGCGTGTAGTCGTTAGCTTTACTAAAAAGAATATGAGTTTAGTCGAATAATCCAATGAGGTATATCTGCCATAACTCCTAACGGTACTGATTAACTACTCGAATGTTAAGTTATGAACGATTTTAATATATTGAACCGTATATTTTAAAGTTAACTGCTTGAATTAGTAGTACTAGCAGCGAAATGTATCTGCATCGACCAATTTGGATTCCTTGGTAATTCAACTGCCAACTAGTGAACTATAACGTTTCAGACTTTATTTTTCGATAGACTGTAATATGTTGTCATTGACCCTTACCTATAAATAATTGAGACTGTACTTAATTTCTGTATTGTTTTTAGTGAGTTTTCCTGTGTTGTAAACTCTTAGATCCTAATATATTTGTATAATAAATCTTTACTATTTCTATTAATAACAACTCAATTTGTACAGCAAGTCGTTTAAACTGTCATTAGAAAAATTGCCATATCTCAGTCATACGCAACATAGAACCTCGTACATGAGTTCGTCAGTTCAAGTTGTCATACGTCTTTAGGACAATGAGACAAAATTATTTCATGATAAATCCCAGCGCAGTAAAAGTAACAATAATGTATACAATTGACTGTATTATTATTTATTATTTGAGCACATAAATATTGTTAAATATTGGGCACTAAATACATATGAACCAATTATTGGTCACTGGCTACTATGAGACTGTATCTCCTGACGTTGCTCTAATGCCTTGTGGACTAGACCTCTAGGTCAAAGGCGTGGGGAGTGGCTCCTTAAGAAAATCACCTGCCTCAGTCTTGTACACAACCACGCCAGCGGTAGCTGATTGCGATGTGATCAATCTGAGTCCAGGCTTGAGTTGCAGAGGGAGGACGCCAGGTGGCACATCGGCGATGACTGTGCTGGTAGTTAGTGCTAGCCAGAAATAGGTTGTGATCTGCGCACAGTTGCAGTAAACGGTCCCCGTTGTCTGACCTGCGACCAACAAGTCCCCATCGGCCACCTAAACCACTTTCTTCTGTGCCTAGACGCTTGACCTGAGAATTCAATTCTCTGGCTAGTACTGCAATATGTTGAACGCACTTTCTGTAGAAGGATAGTCAATTGGTGGCAAAGCTCATCCTTGATCGCATCCGGACTGCAATCCGTCGGTGCATAGGCGGAAATGTCGAAAAGATATCGTTTCTCAAACCAACTGTCTAACTATTTGAATATGCATAATGTAACTTCGTACAGTTATGTATCAGTTACAAAATGCCTTATTTCTTCAAATGTACTAATTGTGGAAGAACAGAAAGAAAATGACGAAAATGAAGATGATCAATGAGACATTTAAGAACAAACATCAAAATACCTTAAAGAAATGTATATGAATGAATGAATAAAAGAGTGAATATACATTTGACAACACTTAACTATTTCGTTTTTAATTAACTATTTTCTTTCTGTTTTATCTGTCTTGAAGATCCACATCATCTTAATTATAACACTTCTTTTATAATTTGCAATGTAATGACGCTGATAATAATTTATTTGTTGTACTGAATCTTAACTTTTTCCTTCTCACTTTTTCTGTTTATTAGCGTATATTTTAGATATTATTCGTAATTTTTAATTTATTATTTATTATAATTAATGAATATTTAATATCCCTTAAATTCTTTTAATTTTTCCTATACTCACTATTACTTTTAGTGCATTAATTGAACATACTGACAAAGTTATTTTTCTAGAAGATGATGATGTAGCGGCTGTTCGTAATGGTCAACTGACAATTCATCGTTTATCAAGAAGTGCATCAGCGACACGTGAAGTTGTTACCTTACAAATGGAATTACAACAGATTATGAAAGGTAAACTAAATTAATTAAAATCATTTTGTTTGATAATGTGATCCGAGTTTTTCTTTGTAAATTAAAGTTTAATCATTATCTCTATATGACACAAATCAGTGCCAGCTTCCAATCAAATATATTGTATTATAACTAATGATTGATGAGAATTTGATAAACAAACAGTTTTGAGTTTATGACTTCTGATATTTAATTTGATGCTACACCATTTGAATAGTAAAACTCCTTCATTAGATGATGTCAATTTAATTTAGTCTACTTCCCTTGTACAACCTTTACTGTTGTTAGTTGTGAATGAATGATTAATCTGCTTAAAATGATCAAACATTTTAATGTTAATGAAAGAACGAATGACTACTATTTCAATGGTTCTATACAATCGTTATCTGAACGATTTGTTTAAATTCATGATTTATGTGTTTATACTGTAGTTTATTCAATCAGGCGTTATTTTGTGTGCGATAATTTCATTTCCAACTAACAGTCATCACTGGCAAATTGTAAAACTCTGTAAGCTTTCATTTCTCAATTCAATTCTTTTAGGTAGACAGTTTCTTTGAATACTTTCTGAGTTATTTCAAGTGTTTTTTTTCTTAATCTAATTATCAAACATTACACTGTTCACATACAAATGGTATAATCCACAAACGGTTAATGATCATACGATTTTGTTATGAATATAAAATATCATTATGCACCTCGTCATGAAATTGTTTTTCCAACAACACATCAATCAATATACCAGCTTTTTTTTCTGAAGTATTAAAACAAAAGGCTTGTTTGAAACTTGACATTTAGCTTATCTGATTTACGAATTAGGACATTTCAGGAAACTCAGTCTTAAATATTATTTTGAAAAGAACGCTTTTACAGGAATCCAGTTAATCATTAAATCTTTACCTAATAAAGCTGAGCAGTATTAAACTATAATCAATGAACCTTTAGAAGTTATTGCTACAAATCCGAGTCACAAATCCTTGAAACATGTAATATTAAAAAGAATTTAACAATTGTCTATTCAACAAGCTCGTTACATGAAATCAAAATAGTACACGAACACAGTGCAAATGATAATCTTAGTAAATAAAAGAATTAGACCAATTCAATCCAATTAGGAATCAAAAGACGAAAACTGACAGAACGAGGCGGTTCACATTTTCACATTCCATTTTTAATAGACGTAATAACAGTTAACTGGATAATATGATATTATGTTCACTAGCTAAAAGAAAAAGTCTCGGGAAAATATCTAATGGCACACATGCTTTCTATTAACAAACGTATTAGCAAAAACAATGTGACCAACCTCTTTTTTATCTATTTCTTCGATAACACAAACGCTGTCATGGGACACTCGTCAAAAGTGGATGCATAGAAATAAATAAAACTGCAAATGTTTTCATGACAGTGATGCTATAGCTCACTTAGTTTTCACTACTCAATTTTAATTTACTTAATTGCCGTTTTCAATGTAAAATGATCAAATTCGTTATCTGATTGGAATAATTATCAATCACTTCCCTTGTTTATATTCCCAGGCAATTATGATTATTTTATGCAAAAAGAAATTTTTGAACAACCAGAATCAGTGTTGAATACAATGAGAGGTCGAATAAAATTCGATATGAATACTGTGAAATTAGGTGGTCTCGCTGAACATCTAAGTGCAATACGTCGTTGCCGTCGACTCATATTCATTGGCTGTGGAACTAGTTATCATAGCGCAGTTGCAGTAAGTACTTTATTCTATTTGAAGTTTGTGCTGATGATGTCGTTCAGAAGAACGATGAAAGCTCCACGACCAAACCATCCAGCTCAGAGAACAAAACTCCACCAAAAGTAAAATTAATTATATAATTGATTACGAGTTGCAAGGTGTGGTCTGGTTGATACAGAGAAATCTTTTGAATAGGCGTTCACAAATTGTCTTAAAATGACATTTGAAATACTGTGAGACAGAAGTTTGGAACCAGTATTTTCGTATTAGGTGTATTGGGATGTCACTTTTGAGGATAAGTACTGTATGCAAAAGCTATTTTCAGTGCGGCTGCAAGATAATTATAACCACCTACTAATTGAGGGAAGAAAATGAAAAACAGTGAGCACGGAACAATAGCAGCAAAAGTTACTATGACATCTCTGTCGTTATACTTTGTGTTAGCTCCTTTTATGGCTTACTAATTTGAGTAGATATTATTTAAATTGGTCATATTGATCAGATACGATGTAATTGTGAAATATTTGTAAGAACGGAATTTCAATAAATATGCCTAAGTAATAACAATGATCAAACATCTAATATTCCTATAATTTCACTAGTAAAGTGAGATCTAGCTAGTGGTTTAAGTATCGGTAGAGAGTTAATCATCGATGTATCGAACAAACGATGATAGTGATTTAGTTTCACGGATAGATTGTAGCAGATTTATTCCATAGTCTTACAAAGTAATCTATATCGATAGTAAACTTAGAATAAGACAATTTCATTTTTGATAGAGTTACATATATTATATTTCAATGATTCTGTATGCTGGATTGCACCAATTTATGTAAATGATAGTCTGTTTAGTATTTTGAATGTTTGAAGATTAAATTTAGTTCAAGTCGATCAATTTATTTAACTCATTGTTTTATCTATCATTTTTTGTATATGGAACACTTGAAGATAGGCCATAGTTTTAATAGTAATTGATGAGATGTAAGTCCCACAACAGGACGAAACGGCTGTCCAGTGCTTCCAGGTTTTCCATGGTAGTCTAGCTTCAATTTGACCCCTGATCTCAACTATTGAAATTAAAATTTTACCGTTCGATGAATTAATCTTCTACTTTATGTTATAAAAATTGCGTTTAACATTAACGTGTTCAGGATCAAGATGTTTAACAAAACTCACTAAATATGAAATGAATAAACATTTTAAAACTTACTACAGTCAAACACTGTCAATTTTCATTCAATATAAATTCATAAGATCATATGAAGTATATCATATTTATGTAAATAACTAATAATTAATACAACATGATAACGTTATATTTTGCTTAGCTAATGTGTATAACTTCTTTTCTTATTTTATGTGCATCGAACAGTAAGTTTGAAAAGGTATCAAAACAACAACGACACTGTCGAAAGACTTCGTGTGGAACAGTTTGTGATGTCAACACTTTTTGATGACACTGCTTGCTAATCACACATACATATGTCAGTGAATATAATTAATTTATTTTAAGTTGTCATATAAGTATTCGGTTAATGAACGTATTAATATCCTATCCAGTTACCTATAAACGTATCAATCCGGAATGCTGGATATCAGCGACTTTTGCTATACAATGTGCTATAGAATTCTTTTTCGTATGCTAAGCATATTATATTTATTGCTTTTTAAACTTTATGTATTTTATCATCTCTCTTGCTCAGACTCGTGCACTCATTGAAGAAATGTCTGAACTACCAGTTATGGTTGAATTAGCTAGTGATTTGTTAGATCGTAAAACCCCAATATTTCGTGATGATGTTTGTGTATTTATAAGTCAGTCAGGTGAAACAGCAGACACTTTGTTAGCTATGCGTTATTGTATCAAACGTGGAGCACTTGCTCTTGGTATCACAAACACTGTCGGTTCATCAATATCACGCGAATCACATTGTGGTGTACATATCAATGCTGGACCTGAAATTGGAGTGGCTAGTACTAAGGTAACTTTTTCAAAATTATGTCAATGCATACGTAATTAATTCATTTAATTAAAAAAAATGTTATATATTCCCTGGAAAAACAATTTTCATTGAGTCGTGAAATGTCAGAAATCTAGTTTTATACATTTTGGAATATTATATAAATAATGTGATCAATTATATACTCAAATATCTAGATTCGGACAAAATTAGTGTTGGACGAAAACCTATTTGTTGATCATCCTTAGTTCACGGAGGTTACGTTTCAGAAGTCTACAGCTCACAGTAAAACTTTGTTAATCCCGAACGTTTGTAGTTCAACCAATGTCCTGACAGTGCCGAAGGTAGTCCACATAGATATACCACATAGGCTTTCCCTATGAGTGTGTTTGCGGACACATCTACGAAAGCCGAGAAGATCAATTCATTTCTCACTTAGTACATAAGTATTCTTCACCATTTCAAAGAAGTTCAAAATGGTTCATCATTTCTTCCATGTGCATTTTTATGTATCTTGGACCTTTGTGTTTCGTGGCTTAGACTGTCTGAAAGCCTAGGTTGGTAGACGCTGTAGCTGATGCAGAATTGAATGTTTAAGTTTAAAAATACAGGGCTTAAACCCTCGTCCTCCGGTTTACTGGTTCTATCAACTGGACGGTAAAACTGAACTATTAAGCAATATATTGCTTACTTTCAGCTTTCACAATAGTCAAGCAAAGTTGAGACTTAGTGAACAAGGAATCAGTTCCAATCATTCAGTCACTCTGATCTTTTTACTTCAGTCATTATACATATTTGCTATTTTAATTTCTGTACTGTTAGAAGTCTAGTTATTCGGTACATATTTATAGGTTCATGTATTTTTAATGTTACAAAACGTGTTTGTTAATCATCAGGTTGCCTCCATAGTTGCAACTTAAACAATCCGCACATATAAGTTCTAATTTCGTCTAATTTTCTCATATCTACTGACTATTATTAGTTTGTTTAATTTAATCCCCATTTTTTTTGTTTTTACCTCATTTTATTTTCAATGACATTAGGCATATACAAGTCAATTAATTGCCTTGGTAATGTTTGCTTTAGTCTTATCTGAAGATCGCATCTCTATTCAACCAAAGCGTATTGCAATTATTGAAGCACTATCTAAGTTGTCTGGTGAGTGAGTTCTAAATTCAATTAGGAGGTGTAGTTGTAGTGTATTTTCATTTCCAAGAAATCTTTTGCCACACACTTGGTTCGAATTTGGTTGTGAATATATATGCAGTTTGTTTATTTGCTGCGTATTATGTTGAAAATCAAATGATCGATGTGCTGTTCAATTACTTTTACAATAGTCTTTTGTTTCATTCAGTAATTATGAAGTCATTCATTTTATCTTTTGAAGTGCAGATAATTTGGTCTTTTTCACTTAAGAGAATTATATTCTATTTTGCTCAACGTGAGATATAATGTGTCAAGTGTTCTGAATCTACTAGCTAACTTGTCAATATCTTATGACATCCCAGACCTATATGTTAAATCAATGTGAGCGGGAACGTAAGAGTACACCAAAAGATAAATAGAGTGTTTATTCACTGAGCTAAGAGGTTGGCACCAATACCAATGCTGTTTTAGCGTCTCCTGATTCCCATCTAATTTACACTTACTCCACCGAACTATACATTTTGTAGTAGGCGATGTTTGGGCATGCACAGTCCATCTCCTGATCACATTGATTGATGAGGATTCGTCGGTGGATACACCAGCCTTATTTCTTCACATTAGATCTAACCTCACAAATGCTCACTCAATCAAACAGCAAACAATCTACGAAGTGCAGAAAAAAGGTTGAAACATGATATCGAGGTGACAGAACGATAGAATGTTTGTAGTTAACTGGATGATAAATGTTAAGCAATGTTTTCATATTCTTACTTACGTGTTATGACTGATTGTTGATTTACTGCTTACGTTCTTCTTTTAAAAAATTACCAGATCAGATACGTTCCATATTAAAGTTAGATTCGTCATTACAAGAATTGGCTAAAACAATTTATATGAAAAAGAGCATTTTAGTCATGGGTCGTGGTTATAACTATGCTACTTGCCTGGAAGGCGCATTGGTAAGTAAGCAATTGCGCTGTCTTTCTTTTGTTGTTTTTTGTTGCCTGTTATCAATAATTTGACAATCTCGTGCATGTATCAAATTCTAAAGCTTGTCCTAAATGGAAATGAGTTGAATGAGTGTGAGTATCAGTAAAGTTACAGGTAAAATAACAATGTTTGTATTCAAGTGGATTGTTTTCAGGTTAATAAAAATAAGTTTCATCAATGAAGTATTTAAAAATGCCTTGATTAAGTGGTGATTGAGGACAATAATAACTGGTGAAAAACAATTACTTACCATTAACATATAGTATCTGCTTTGTAATTCGGTGATAGCTTCGTATCACCTATGCTTGATCAAATTAGAATATGACAGGAAATCGTTAATTTTCTAATGATGAATGTTTTTATGCGATAAATTCAATGCTAAAGTTTTTCGGGACCATCATGAGATATCAGACTATGTTGAATTATTTCGTAAACTGGTCAAATTTAGAGAAAAACTATATCATTGAATTTTGACATGTCTGTGTCAAATTAAGGTGCTCGTTTTAATTTTTCACCTTCCTGAATTTAATTTCTGACAGATTGATTCTGTGATATGCCTGGAAATTATTTTAAATTCTATGAATTTTACATGGTTATAGGTTAATCAGTTAATTCGAGTATAATAAAACCCATAAAGTTGATTAACAACTGATATTAACTAAAATCACGAAGTAACAACCACTTCATGGTATATATTATGAAGAACTTGATTCACCGTATTCTTTTCTGTCTTTTACTTCATGACGAATAGAAAGTAGTTGGGCAATTTTGACTAAAGATATTGTATCAATCATTTTAGCTCAATTTTAGATTAAATCTTTTTCTTTTAAAAATATTTAAACAATTTCTTTCACTTAAGCAAAAATGGATGGTGGCTAGCAGTGGAATCTAGGACGCGCGTTTCGTCCTACTTGGGACTCGTCAGCTAAATGCACCTGTATCCCAGAGTTGATGTTCACTCCGGGACTCGAACCCAGTATCGTTTGCTTCGAACGCCACTATATTATCCACTTAGCTACTGAGTCCTGATATCCACTTTCACTTTTGTGGTTTACAGATTTTCAGCATTAGTCATTTTTGTTTTAATCTAGTTACTCATATTTTTCTTTTGTTTTCTTTCCGTAGAAATTAAAAGAATTAACTTATATGCATGCAGAAGGTATTATGTCTGGTGAATTGAAACATGGTCCATTAGCAATGATTGATAGTGAAAGCACTATTATAATGATTATAACACGTGATCGTTTATTTAAAGTAAGTTGATTGTTTGATTATGCTGACAATTTGTTTATAGTAAATTAAGTACATATATAGGTATTATTCCCATTTTGCATTACAATCAACTATGTAAATTGGAACTTAGAATTACTAGTTTATCATCATATGCAGATAAGTAGAGGCAGGTGTACAAAAGTTTAACTGCTGTGATTCGATAAAAAAACTACAGAGAAAATGATAAGATAGATAATAAATTATTCAACTATTCTAGAGGGAAAAAATGGATGGAATGTGTTGATCTATTATGTAGACCAAAGAAATAAGATGTTGATGGATCTGAGTACAGAATGTTGGCTTCCTTTTTCATCTCCTAACTTTCATTAAGCTATAATTCCTGGACTTCAAACAATTCAATCAAAATCAAATTATGTCTCGAGGTTAATTTTCGCACGGAAATTCAGTTTACAATTAACTGATCACTGATTAGTGACCAATGTTATGTTTGTTTATTTTATAAGTTTCCATCGAATTATATCGGTCAGTTTACTTTAACGTGATTGGCATGTGTTCAAATCGACTAGGTAACATCACTTCCTTCAAGAATACAGAGGTACACGTTGGTAGCGAGTGCCAAATAGCAGGAAACCTAGATTCAGTTTTTTCAGTTGGTTATACCATGTCATCTAACCAAACAAGTTGTATATTTGTTTGCGGAAGATCTTATAGTTCTCGAACGTTGCCCTAGTTAGTAGCCCTTTTAAATTTGACCGGTCAGACTAGGAAGGAGAAAAAATATTGAGCCCTACAGTTAACCTAACAGGTTTATTACTTAAATGTATTTCAGGCATATTTGACTTATGTACGGTTTACTTAGATATTTTTTCACTGACAAATTACTCGGTTTGTAGTGTTCTGAGAAAGAATATTCTCGAATGTCGACAGTCTTTCCATGGACTTACACCTAGTAAATAAAGCTACTTTTCTCATAATCTGGGAAAAATTAGTCAAGTAGTCGACGTGCAATATAACCAACAATTTGTCCAAACGTTAACTATATCGTTTATTAACACGGCATTTAAAATGTGTATTACCTTGCTTCAATTTGGACAGTGTTTGTCAATTTGATTTTCTTCATACTCTATCGTGGATCATGTTTCTTTTGTTTAAGTAATATTATTCTTGTCTTTTTGTTTTATTTATTATTTAGAAAACATTGAATGCATTGTCAGAAATCAGAGCACGAAAGGTAAATAACAATATTTATTTGTGAATGTTCAATCAGATCAAATCTATATATTGTTTTAATCCAATCATATAATAGAGGTTTTACTTTAGTAAATAGGATAACAACATGAGTTAGTTATATGCGATTCATGTGAAAAGTTCACGATGTAGAAATAAATGACTGAAACGAATTATGTGTGAGTGTGAGTTTGTGAGTGTGAGTTTATGTATGTGTAAGATTGAGTTCTTAATTATTGATATTCAGTGTTAATATGTTTTATATGAAGGAATAAATAAATAAAATAAACTAAAAGTACAAGTTAAAGGTTGAAAAATTGTTTCTCAGTCATCGATATGCAAATAAAAATGAGAATCATAAATTACATAATTGTATTGCTGAAAATAACTCATTAAAGAGGATGAATGGAGTTGTATAAAATGTTAACGAATAAATTTGAAGTAAATTCAATGTTTCTTATCTGACAATCTGGATCAAGCTTTTTTTTTCAAGGAAATATCATCAAACATCAAAATTATCGAATATAAATAGATACATGATTCTCTAGTTAACTGTACACTTGAATAGGTCATCCAATCAATGTTGACAATGTTTAAAGTAGGTATCTGCTTTAGTGTATAAGAGACATGTGGTATGAAATTAAAGGTGTGTTTAGATAACAGACTGTATTTAGTTCTACGTATTGTGAGAAGAAATTTCACCAATTATATATTGTGCGCATCCGCGGTCCCGCACCCAGGACCCATCAGTCTCGCGCCAAGCGCTTAACCAACTAGACCACTGAGCCGGCATCCAATGGTGTTAATGTCTAACTTCAACCAATCCACGAAGTTGGTTAAGCGCTTGGCGCGAGACTGCTAGGTCCTGGGTTCGAATCCCGCGGGGTGTGGGATCGTGGATGCGCACCACTGAGGAGTCCCTTACTAGGATGAAACGGCCATCCAGTGCTTCCAGGTTTTCCATGGTGGTCTAGCTTCAATTGACTCATGATTTCAATCTGTGAAAATTCTAAAATCTCCACAAACCCCTTCTGATAACTATATATTGTCTCTGATCGGTGAATTTGTGAAGAAATCATACAAGGTTTATTGATGATATGAATCAAAAATGTTATAGCATGCATTAAATGAAGATAAATAAAAAAGATAAAAGAATGAATTCAAAGAGGAAGAATGTATTTATAATTGGAAGTTTGTGTTATTTTAGTGTTCCAGTCAATTGTTCAACATATTCAAATAAGATAACTGATGAGAACCGTTGAATTTAATTTCCGTTAATAAGTTAATACGATATAGATAGAATGGAACTCATATTAATTTCCGTCAATATGACGATGCATATAAAATAAACAGGTTGGATAGAGATGGGGTCCAATTACTTGTTAACGAATATTTGCCAAGTAGTTGCTTGCTGAATACTATCTTTTTGGTTCAGGCTATTCTTGTTCTTCTTCTTCTTATTGTTTTAACACATAAATATTGGTACAAGAGGGCACCGAATATATATGCGCCACACCATACTTGTGTGTGTGGGCTGTGATACTGCTCGGATGCCCAGACCGAAGCAGGTGGTTATCTTAGGGGCCACTCCTTGAGCCTTTGACCTAAAGGTCTGATCCACAGGGCAGTGGAGCGTCGTGAGGAGATGCAGTCCCATGGTAGTCGGTGACCAACAATGGGTTCATACACCATTTGTTCCCACAGGATACTGGAGCCCATGTGCACTATTGGTTTGGAATCCGGTTAAAGCGCCGGACATTCGCTTTTCGTCCTCTCATTTTTGCAAACAGCACCCCTGCCACGAGAAGGTAGTGAGTAGGACTTCCCTGGCAGAGGCTGTATACGCGTGGCTGTGTGAGAGCATTTCGAGAGGGAGGGCGAGCCCACCCCACTCTCGGCCATACCAGGGCATTTGGGGGCTCATATATACAATGGTTCTGCTGTCAATTTTTCAATTTTGGTCCCTTCAAAAATAATCTTGTATCTTGTTATAACTCATGTAACGCTATCGTCGACTTATTCTCAAGTTTCTTTTAGTCAGCCGAGGATTTGGGAAAATTTTTCAAACACTTTTTATTTTCGTTCAACCTCACATTCAATTGTCTGAACGTTTCTTCCACAAAAGCTGCATTACAATCATGACAGTTGATCTCATAGACAATATTTTGTTGTTCTCCCTGTGGGAACCTATCCTTAACTTTCACTAATGCCGATCTTGTAGTGCATGAATAAATTCGTTACAATCGGAGAAACCGGTGAATCCATTTCCATACCTTGTTTCTGTCTGTTAAGGTCTCTTCGAAATGTGAATGAGGTGGATTGTAAACATAGTTTCAAGCATTTGATAACTTCAGATGAATCTAATAGGCATCGTAAATTCAAATCTGAGTCAGATCATAAATAATATCCAATGCTCTATTAACAGCTAAATTAGTAATTAAGGAAGATACATCAAAAATTGCCAACATTTCATCCTCTTCTATATGGATAGTATCGATAACATTCTTGAATTCCATAGAGTTTAATTTCATGATTAATCAGTTTGTCATACGGTTTAAGTATCCTAGCTAAGTATTTCGCTAGGTTGTATGTCGGTGAATATGTAAAATCAACTACTGGTCTTAGTGGAATATTATTCTTGTGAATCTTCGGAAGTCCATAAAGTCTACAAGGGTTACAACTTTTTGGATATAACATGGACCATAATGACGATCTTAGTTTAACGTTTAACGGCTGTAAGGTTTTACTAGTTTCAACCTTAAGTCAATTAAGCGTTGTTCTACTTTTCGTTTCTTTAATTATTTCATACGGGGACCCTTTTGTAAATGTTCCCTGTCTTTTTTCTCGTAGTCCAATATGTTCATAATAACAGTCTTGTTCCATTTATCATACATTATTGATAATTTATGTTAGTACAATCTGTTTAATAAGAATGTAATATAAATGAGTTGTACTTTTTCAAATATAGTCTTGGTTAATTTCATCTACAGATGATGAAAACAATTGTGTACACTATTACATAAAAGAATCTCCCTACTATTTTATGATTCCAGTAAACTTTTCAAATTTTCAGATCACCAAATAATGACAAATCATAATACGATTCAATAGTAATTTGTCACAGTATTATTCTATTACTGGTTATCAGAATTAATAATTAAGTTTTATGAACCAGTGTACATTGTACTTGAAAGATCTAACAAGCTTTTCACGTATTGTAAATCAATCCAGGAGTCAGTTTAACATTTTATACCTTGAACATTGAATTATGGGCTATTGAAGACCTTTAATTCATGTTGTGATTTAGTCAACATTGTTGTGTTGTTTAGATTTCAAATCTTTTAAAAGTATTCTTGCTAATCTTCATAATTATATGTTTCATGCTGGATAGAGAATTGAATAAAAGTGGTTCACATATAAAGAGACTAATTATAAAGCTATTGGAATAACACACACATTTTACTCTTTCAAATCAATTAGATAATTTGTGATGTATCCAATTTTAGAAGTATTGCAATCCTGTTACGTAAACCTTGACGTAATATGTCATAAATGTTAAATCAATGAACTTGTTGTTGTTGTTGTTGTTGTTGTTGTTGTTCAAAGTGATCTTATTCACTAACAAAATATATTTCATGGTGAATATGTGTGATTTTTAAATAAAGACGTGCAAATACAAATTGATGAAACTGATAGATTTTCTTGTCTCAAGCATGTATATAAATTTCTATACTCTTAAAATATAAGCATTATATTGTTGACTCAGTAAATCATATATATATATATATATATATATATATATATATATAATGTAATTCAGAGCAATGCTTAGTTTCTAACGTATTTGTTACTTTTCCAAATTAAACCGCTTTGATTATTGTGATTGAATTACACTTTTTTTTTCAGGGTCATCCGATTGTTATTTGTAATGAAGGTGATTCACAAGTTATGGCAGATGCATCATATGCTATTCAAATACCTGAAACAGTTGATTGTTTACAAAGTGTACTAGCAGTTATTCCATTGCAGTTGATTTCATTTCATATTGCAGTACAACGTGGATTAGATGTAGGTTTCGAATAGTTATCCTTTTCTTCCTATTTTCATTTTAATTGTTTCTGTTTCATAATAATTATATATTTTTAGTATCCCAATGAATAGAAAAATAGTATTTTTAATGTTTTGTGGCATAATGTAAGTCACTCTAAAGAATTGGCTTACATGAAATGACAAAACATCAAAAATATAATTTTTCTATTCATTAGGATATGACAAAAAACGTATTTAATATTAGCTTTCTACCCAGTACTCAATTTATTTGAAACTATCAAGTCCAACTTTGGCATTGATACCTATAAACTCAATTGATTAATATAGGCAAAGATGGATAGTGGCTAGCAGTGGGAATCAGGATGTGCGTCTCGTCCTATTTGGGACTCGTCACCTGGCTGTATTTGCATCCCAGAGTTGATGTTCACTCTAGGAATTGAACCCAGTACCTTTCGCCTCAAACTCCATTCCGTTATCCACTTAGCTACTGAGTCCTGATACCCATCTGCTTGTGCAATGCACTGCTATCCACTATCCATCTTTGTTTAAAAATCTTTTGACTTAAAGTTATACCGAGGCAATCCACACAGGATGCAGATATGTCAACAAGACTGATCAATTGCAGTCCTAATCATCAATAGAAAGATTCAAGTAAACAATACCAATTGAATTTCAATTCATAATTGTTTCTGTTTAATTTTTAATTTTTCTAAATTTACTATTCTATGGTGTTGAAAAAACCTGTCAATTCAAGGTTTTTAGTGTTTTATTTTTTTAATCTTTATTTATCTTTGTAAATATTTATTTTAACCATAGAAATTAATACACATCAAGTTGTAGCTTTATGTTTTGTGACGAGAATATGCATTTTTATTGTGAAACATTCTGTTAGTTGAAAATAACTTTTACTCCCTTCTCACTATTTCATAATACTCAATGGTACTGGATTGACTTAATTAGAAATTTGAAGATGAATAATTTTAACTTATAGCCTCATTTGTTTGCGGTTACTAACGGTTGATTTAAGTTATTTTTTTTAAAAAAAAAATTGTAAACATTTTGATCGAGATTTACGATGCAATTTAAATCACGAGTTTTAAACTTTTGATATCACACTCAAAACATCACTTATACCAATCAGATACAGATGTATCGTTATGTAATTATCACATTTAAAATTTTTTATATTCTTTATTTGGTTTATGATATTTTTTCTCTCTACTTTTAATTTTTATTTATTTAAACACATAAATATTGATAAAAAAAAACCGGTAGCGAATACATATGCGCCACTCAATTCACTTGATTTATGTGAGGGCTGAGATATTGACTGGGTGCCCAAACAGAAGCAGGTTGAATTTTTTAGGGAGCCACACCCGGAGCTTTCGACCTTAAGGTATGATCCACAAGGCAATGGAGCAACGTATAGAGATGCAGTTACATGGTAGCCGGTGACCAACAATAGGTTCATACGCCATTTGTTCCCTTAGGTTACTAGAGCCCATGTACGCCATTGGTTTGGAATCAAGGTTTTCCAACTCCCCTAGGTAGACTATCCATGTCCACCAACCCGGTTAAATTGCCGGACATTCGCTTTTTGTCCTCTCAATTTTTATAAACGACAGTAATCCCACGAGAAGGCAGTGAGTAAGATTTCCCTGGCAGTGGCTGTATAAACGTGGCCATATGAGATCATTTAATTTAAACTTTATTTGAACGGTTACATTTTGAAATGAAGGTTTTTTTTTGTGTTCCACATCAATTTTTGTAAATTCAACTTAAATGATAAATATGATTTTTAAACAGAGTAGCCTTTTCATGAATGTCCAGTTATAATGTTGCTCATGAAGAATATTAAAAGACAATGCTTCTTCAAATTGTCAGCTTTTTCTCAACAAAACTTTATCCTAATTTTATGCAAAACAATAAAGTCAAACTGAATATCAAGCGAATTAGATACACTTTAATTAAATTGTCCAATAGGTAGATTATGCTTTATTCACCACCCTTTTAATGTTATTCTTTACTAGACTATTAAATTCATTCTATCTTACTATATGAAGTGACTACTTATTATATGAAATGATTTAAGTTTCATAATAGATCGACGGACAGCTTTGGATAAACTGTACTATCAACCAATTGTTTGACCATCTAAGGCGAAATTATTGATGTTCTGCAGCTAGCAGATCATTTTAATTAAAGCATCGATGAATAAATATGTCGGTGTAAAATTACGAAAAATCTTATGTAGCTTATTCACTGTAGCACCTTTTTTGGATTTGTAACCTGAGATTCATCAAGAATTTAAAGATAACATTCTCATCAAAATTCCATAATCTGTGAAGCTAACCAAACTAGTAGTCATAAAGGATATTATCTATCAACTATATATAAAAATAATTGAATTGTATATTAAACGAAATAAGACAATTATGAAGTCTTCTGATAAGTCTTGCGGATTGAACGCTATATTCGTCTCTTAAGCTATTCTGTAATTCCTAAGCTAGAACTATACAGCGACCTGAACACGAGAGAGAAGATGCAAAGTATGCGAGAAGTAGTTTACTCCAAGGTTCATTCTAATACAGAAAATACAGGGTTTTTATAATATTTTAAATGTCCTTGGGTTGTTAGAAGATTCTGGAACGCTACTAAACATAGTAGCAGCCAACCAATCAGAGCATCTGCATGTGACTTTTTGCTTCTTTGATATTTTTGGCTGACTTTAAGTGAATCCTGATGCTTGCTTGTCTTGTGCAAGCAATTTTCTGGATCATCCCAACATCTTCATTAGGATATTTGAATGTCCTTGCTACTATTGATTATTATATTGAAAAAGGAATTGTATTTGTAATACTTCTATTTAGCTTTAATAACTTTCAAGGTATGGAATATTAAAATTATAATCCTTTTATTGAATTTATAAGTTGTTTTTTTTTCTTTTACTACTTTACAAATAGGTTGATTGCCCTCGAAATTTGGCGAAATCTGTAACAGTTGAATAATTGATTATTCGAATACATATCAAATCATCTCATTGAACTTTGATCACCTTATAAACACAGCAATTTGATGATTTATTAACTAGGTCTATAATTATTCGTTTATTACAAACTCAAACTTTGTCTTCACATGGACACATTCTCATTTTATGCTCTTAATATAATTATATTTCAATCTTTTATAAATTGTCTTTCTACTTTCCTGTAACTATGAATTTTATTTCTATTTTGTATCAGTTACACTAATTGATGAATATTTATGAAATGTTGAACACCATAACTTAGTTGCTTATTTATTGGTTAAGGTATTGATTCTAGTATACACACAAAAAAGGGCTTTCGTATTTTAAAATTTTGTTATATTCAAGTTCTTTATTTTCATTATATTTTCTTGTTGTTGTCAAGGTTTTTTTTGTTTGTTATCACTTAGGTAAATCGCTTTTTGTTTTTAAATTATAAAAAGCAAGCGTTCTGATCGGTTTCTTCATGAATTTTTATTATTATATTATTAATACTGATGTATGTTCGTGATTTCTTCACACACACACACACACACACAAATCGTCTATACTCAATTGTGTCTTGATTAATTTAAGTCCTTCAAATAAATTGCAGTGTCAATCAATTCAAGTCCCAGACCCATTTTCATCATTAAAGTTTACAAGTTATACTGAACTACACATAAGTTTGTTTCCTAGTCTCGTGCTTTAGGGTTTGGGATTTAAGGTGATTTCTGCACATAACCTACAAATTATTAAATATACTTGCCGTTGCCGTTAACATTATCTATATTTTAGGGTCGAAACTAGAAATAGGCAATCACGATGTCCATATCTGAAACAGCAATTAAGTCTGCAAGCGAGTTTTATGATTTAAACTATCTGTCAAGGATAAGCAATAACCTGCGTACCTAATCTTCAGTTGGTTTTTCCCTATGTTATCAACTGATTCTACTAAGATATGGTTTCATCAACTACTTATTTCGATTTCTTGAAAACATTTTAGTTTATAGTCTGCTTATGCTTGTTATCACCAATGAAATGAAGTATCTTATTTGCGTTAGATGTATTACTATCTAATTCAGACAATATATTCATTTGACAATTGTAAGTCTGCCGATTTTGATAAATCCCGAAACCCTTATTTATTGGAACATGATTAGTAATCGATTTATCATCGGTCTTTATTTCATTCATACTTTATCTTACAGTAAATTTTGTAGTTCAGCATTCTGTTACGTGTTGTCGTAAAACGTATATTTCAATATTTTGTCTTTCTCGCTTTCATAAATATTTAAATTTGTACTGACTTTAATTACCCTGTTTTTGATGTTCTTTACTGCGTCTTGATGGGTCTCCATTGGTATATGTGCGGATCACCCCAGTGTAATCATCTGTTACACACGCTTATAGAATAGGTTGAGTATATAGCTAGCAGTGGAATCCAGGGCTAACATTTCGTTCTATTTGAGACTCAGTTGGCAACTAAATTACATAACGGGTATGAACGAACATGCACCAAGACTGATCAAAGCTCCCTCAAGATGAACCAAGTGATAATTCAAGACATCACAAATTGAAGTTTAAGCTAGTGGCTGGCGTTAGGATTTTGAATAGGGAGATACTGGGTTCTAGTCCGGCGTGGACTTCATCATCACCTGGTGAAACCATAACGGTTTGTCTTTCATTCGACTACTAGCCACTTTTCAACTATCTGATACCATAAAGGATATCATTATTTCAACTTGTCTTCGTAACTGCATTCTGTTGTGCTGATTTGGCTTATCATATGCCTTGTACTTCCTGTTATATCCGAGCGAAGATTAAATTAAGGGTAACTTCCGAGGACTACTAATGGACTAATTTTCTATAATGATAATTATTTAATAATTGAGTACTGCCTTCCACGTTCACAGTCACATTTGGCCAAATATTGTACAAATGTTATTTTCTATTTTATGGTACGTTGTGATCTGTCTGGTTGATATATAAACCGAGTATGTCTGAAATAAACTATTCGATTCATATTGCGCAAGCTGGTAGTGAATTCTGGACTCAAGCGGACGGGCTAGGAGGACCATAAGGACGCTAGACTGCTCATACCGGTTGAACGTCATTGGTTTGTCATAGTGCTAAGATAGTATAAGTCGTATTTTGATTGGTGGCTAAATCACGTGATAAGCCGGACATAAAATCATAACACTTTTGGTGCTTGATTTTTTGATTGTCAACCTTAGGACATATCTGCATAAATCATTTCCATGTAAGCTGTCTTTTCCATTTGTTGCTGTGTATGCGGTAGCAGGGCAAAGTCGTCCAAGCGCATCCGTAGTGTTCACTATATTCCTAGCCTTTCTTGGGACGTGGATGTCTTAATAATCCAGTCAACTTCTGACAGAAAAGAATGGGCGACAGTAAGCAGCCGTTTGATACAAGTCTTCACACAGTATGTTAACTTCTACATGAAGTAAACGTTTATGGATCACAATAAGAGCTTCACCTATGTCATCTTGAAGAAAAAAGCCACTCAGCATTGTAATTAGGAACCTTAACTGTATGACGGTTAAATCGAAACGTAAGAGAAAAAGCAACGGTGACCACGTTACTTGCAATAAAACGCTACTTCAGTACAGAAAAGAAAAATCAGCGACTTTAATAGTACGAGACTGATGGAGGTAATCAATCCTTACCAATCGAAGACAGATACGCCCGTCTGCAATTAGGAATACAAATTATTTCTATGTTGTATCTCCGAATCACTAGAGACATATTGTCTGGATTTGACAGCGTGTGAACTATTTGTATTTGTGTTGGTAAACCTATCTTCTGGCCTTTTATTTGGTTTTTTAGTTATTCACTATAGTGGTCTAATTATCTAGTGTGCTCAGTCGCATTATCTATTATTATGTTAACGAACAATGAAACACACTTCTTTAACATTACTTAAAAAAACGGTGATGAGAAAACTTTAGATGGAATGGGTGAATTTTATGGAACAATGTGACGTTTAGGGTTTGGAGAAAGACACCACAATGTATATGCTGAAATAGATTACTTCTATTTCAATGTAATTCGTCTACAAGAGATAGGTTTTTGTAGTTGGTTTTGAAGCACACTGGTGCTCTTCTTATTCATCTATTGATTCATGTGTTATTTTACATTAATACCAATTGGGAATCAGCAATGAGTCGGATAATGATACAGAAGACTCATTTTCGCTTGCCAACCAATCAGGTGATAGAAAAGTTCTCGTCCCTTTAGCTAAAGCCGTTAATCGCTATTCGAGCTCACGCATTTCTAGCTTCAAGTTTAAACTAGATGGTATATCATGTCAAGGCCTTAATCCAGATCGAGACAATTTCCCTCCTGTATATTATTGGGTAGACAGATCAAGGACGTAACAGAGATTGAAGCTAGTAACAAGCGATACAGTAACTAAGATTAACAAGAGTCATTAAGGTTGCAAACTGTAATTCTGGAGGTTGATAGTCAGTTGAAGTCAGATTAGAAATGATTGATATTGATCATTATCCAGAGAAAGTAATTCCCTTTCGTTATATTATGTAATCGCTATGACTGAAGAAAGTATCTCAACGATGTTTAGTTAATGATAGTTAAATATAAAAAAGAATCGATATAGAACAGCATTATAAATATAAAAAATTTCGGTTATTCAGAGAAATATATATTACACATGCATAAGCACCAATTGTTTATTTTATCACTTTCACTTCCTCATCCTCGTCGTTATGTAAATCACTGTCACCATCTTGAGGAGATGACGTAACTGATTCTTCTTCACTCAGACTACTGATGCTACTGACCTCATCTTTATTATCACTTTGAAAACTATTGACATCCTCAGGATCTGATTTTGATTCAAAGTATTTAATTGATAAATCAAACAGTTGAATAGGATCTTTGTTCATATGATCAATCTTATCAGCAGTTATCAAACGATTACAATCATCTTGTCTGATAATCTGATTCTTATCCGGAGGAAAGTGGTCAGTTGTATGGTTAATATATTTCAAGAAACTAGCAGTACCAGGACCAGCATAGACTAAAGTCAAAGAATTATCTGACGGTGTAACAGTCAGAAGCTAAAGAAAAAAAGTTAAAATCAAATTTAGGATTATTGTTATTGTAAAAACAACAGATTAAGAAAGTGTGAAGTTGAAAAACAGTCTAGGGTTAATATGAACCGATGGTTATTACTCTACAAAGTTTATATATGCATATGACCTATATACGTAAAAGAAGAAATCATCACATGAATAAAACTAAGATTTACAGCGACAGCTTCACTCATTAACTCAATATACCAAGAATTTTGATAATTTTATACTCTCAACTTAAAAAAAAAAAGATTCAAGTTTTCTCTTTATTTACAATGGTGTCAAAGTAAATTTTAAATCTCCAGGTTCAATAATTTCGGCTCATGAATGATCTTCTCTTTTCAGTAATCAATACAAATGTTAACAAAAATAGTGAATATTTCTGTATGTAAACATGGAGTTTTACTAAAGTTAAATTATGAATTAACTACTATACGACATTATTGGTAACTTATATTAAAAGTACACTTAAGAATGAAATCATTTCAGTTAATGAACTGCAATCCAAATGTTGTATAAGATTAGAGATTTTATCATTCTCGAAATACAAATGGTGGCTCTTATGTAACAACTGTCCTCGTCAAATCTACATTCTCATGAAGAATACATTAAACTGCCCGGCTATTGTGATGTATTTGTGTATAGGAATAACTAGGGCTTTAAGTGATTCACTTGGTGTTGTTTTACTTGTATCAACAACACCAAGTAATAACAGTCGTTCCAGAGTTCACTTGATACGCTACAATAGAATGTCTTACTGGATATAAAAAACTATATAAGCGATGAGACCTGAAGCTTTTTTGTTTTTTCTTGGTTAGAATTGTGAGTGAGCACTGGTGAGGAGTCACAAACCAAGATGAAACAATTATTCAGTGTTTTCTAGTTTCTATTGATGCTTAACAAGATACTCAACAGCCATTGGCCGGATATTATCAGCAACAGTCTATTATGGGAGAGAACAAACCGGCTGAAGAGAAAATTAGGAAAAGACGTTTGACATGGATAGGAAATATATTACGGAAATCACCAAACTGCACCATGAGTCAAGCCTAGACTTGGAATCCTGAAGTGAAGCGGAAAACAGGCCAAAGAACAAATTACATTGGGAAATAGAAGCAAATATGAAAAGGATGAATAAGAACTGGAAAGGATCACCCAGGACAGTGTTGAATAGAGAGTGCTCGTGGTCGGCCTATGCTCCTCCACGAGGAGTAACAGACGTAAGTAAGTAAGTATCGATGCTTAATCCTTGACGAATACCACCAAAATATTTATCATAGTAGTTAGGAAACTAACTATTTGCGCTAATAATCACTTATCATAATATTAGTTGTGTATTCTATTAAGTGAACATGTTAAAGACTGGTGAATACTAAGTAAACGATGTCAGATATACCATGCCTCTTACTAAAGAGCGTTTTGTGTAATAATTAGTCATGATAATAGTGACATCATAATGGCTAAGATCAGAAAGTAAACTGGTTACCACAAACCCTCTGCAATAATCACCGTATAATTTATTTAGTAATTCATTTCTGGCTCCGAATCATTATCATGTATGAAAAATCGTAATAAGCTCAGAAGAATCTGATAATTCTTTAGGATATATCATTTACTTACATACAATACAGCTTATGAGTTAACTAGATTATAATTGATAAATGATAATTAAGAAAAAAATCGCCAATTTTTTTTTTATAAGATCCCCGGTAAAAAATGTAGCATAGAACAAACGAACACAGGTAGTTCGTTAAACCGAACATTTGCATTGGCGTAACATTTAATTTTCAGGCATTAGGGGTTACACATTTGAATTTCATCACATTTATTATGGTTTGAATATATAACTGTTTCCACCTACTGCTAGAGCTCATATACAATAATGCATCGCCAGAAGACAAACCTGCACTTGATTAGGGCGAAGATTAGTAACATTTGAATTTGGCTTTATTATCCTTGAAGAGTTTCGTTACTATGTTGTTGATGGAGTACACCTTGTTCATTTTGGAGTTCGAATCGATATTTCTTAGCTGATCTAAGACATTAAAATATCACTCAACAGAATTATAATAAAGACTTGATACATATTTTGAAAAATAAAGAAGCTTATAGAAGGTTGTGGTTTATGATTCTAAGCGCTCAATTTTCGAACCATTGAGTTGTAAGTCTTCATACAATAGGTACGGCTTGTATTTCA